CAGTAACTTGTTTTAATTTTGTAAAATAAGATACTCCTGTACTTGTGGTGTATGATTCCGTGTTGAGTCATCTCAAAATTTTGCCGAATCAATCTCTTTCTGAAATATGCAAACTATTAAAAATATACACTCTATACCTGTGGTTTATCAATGCACTCGTAGTTTTTAGAATTACTTATACAGGGTTACTCAAAAAAATTATTGATTAAATCAATAATTTCAAGATATGAGGGTTATCATATAAAAATAAAATCTTATAGTTTTTCCAAAAATTTGGATTTTTTGTATTGAAGGACGAGGAAATTTCTGTGGAAAAAGCCATCGATCAATTTCTTAGTGAGACCAAATGAATGGTGGAATAAAAATTTGATACCTATTTTATTCAGAGAAAAATTATGTACATGGTTAAAGTAACAAGTTATGTCTATTTACAATTTTTTTTCAAAACTTCCACTTTATCGTATTGTGTTTCGTAGTTTTCTTTTAAATAGAAAATACATATAACATGTTCACAGCAAACATACCATGTAATATTTTTCTCCCATTTTTTACATATTGAATTCTTGATCAATACAACAGTTTTTTTAACATAAAATTTATAAAATCAAAAGTCATTAAGTAATTAAATGTAACCGAAATTCTCATAAAAATTGTGTTCGTTTCTTGCCCACATCAAATCTGGCTGGAAATATATATCCTGAAATGAGAAAATTTCTTTAATTTTATCTACTCACCTTCTGTTTTATGAAAAAACAGCTTACTGCGTTGTAGTAAAAAAAATGTTCATAAAAATTTTAATGTCATATTTTAAGGTTAGAGGGAGTTATGGTTATCAAATAGCACCCAATGTTACAAAAAAAAATAACTGTATTGCTTTTGAAAAGTCAATTTTAAGTGTTTTGTGATATTATAAAATGAAGAAAACGATGGATAAAACACGATACTTATAAAATTATTTTGAGTAATGAAAGGCTGATCTAGTTCATGTATCCAACACTAAGGGCCGGTTTATAGAACAGCGAGTTAAATATTTAATCCTCGATTAGTTTAACAGAGAATTAAAACGTGGGATATGAGCCCGTGATTGGTTAAAATATGCGCGTTGCCTCGCAACGGACCTCAGTTAAAAGTTAATCGCGAATTAACTTTAACTTCGCTTTCTATAAATCGGGTCTAAGTATAGTGAATTAAATTATGAGAAATTAATGAAAAGAAAAATTAAACTTTAAAGGCAAATGTTTTCTACATTTAGGTACAAGGACTTTTTAAATTAAACAGTCCTTAACAACGTGTCATGGAGTTAGTGCACCATTTTTTGATCACTCTGTACAGAGGGTGATGAATATTTTGTATTTTAAGGTACCTAATAAAGTTTCATACCACCGCTTACTAAGAACCTTGACGTGACACAAATCGCCTCCACTTAAACATTAACCATCTCTTATTAGCTGATTACTAAAAATAGTGGCATCGCGACGATACGATAATAATGAACAGTCTGAAGAGTTCGGAAAAAAACATTTATACGCCCCCTGAAGCTGCGCCCTAGGGTAGCCGCCTCACTCCGGCCCTGATTGGAACCGCTCGCTGTCACCGGGGCTCCGGACAAAGATTATTAAATCAGGATTAGCGGTCTGTTTGTGACTGGTCTGGAACCTTTTATAAGAAAAACAAGCATTGATTTGTTGGTCGTGGCAGGAATGTCGAGATCATGAATACGAATTAACAGCCACCAGATGTAGGGTGTTCGATTGTAAAATGCTGGGTTTATATCCACAAGTCTTGTTTGTGGACCGTAAAACCAATGAAGAGTATGGTTTATCACTTTCGGACGACTCCTGAAGTAGCCCACTGCTCGAAATGTAAATGGTCTTAATCAACCTTCTTCGGAAAAATACGAACGCATCATATGCTAATAGGTACGTTTATATAATATGCACTTTAAAATATACACGGACCAGAGTTTAACTAGATTCGAAAAGCTCTGAGAACGTGGATAAGTATTATAATAATAATGCAAACAAGTTGTGACGAGTATCGTAATTTTTATTAAATTTGTTGTTAGTGTGATCATTACTTATTGAAAAAGAAAAATGGTAGTTAAATAAACAGTTTGCAGTGGCCTTAAGTAATCGCAAACCGTACGATGGAATCGTTACTCAGATATGATTAAGAAAATATCTCATAAATTGAGATAAAGCTTTTTTTTGTATTTTTACCGAAGCATCCATGCTAAAGCTTTAAATTTGCATTTACATATCAGAAAGATAAAGAGAAAAAGTGCTCACCAGACCACATGCCATAGACAGACAGATGGAAACGGGAAACCTGCCTTTTCGTATTGTCAAACGCCAATATCTAATGCAAAACGCTGTGGTGCAATGCCAAAATTGCATGTAAAATAAATTTGATGATTTCTTAAACAGCATTTTTTATAAACAGTGTTGTAATAGATTTCATACCAAACGAAGTGCCATGTTCTTCAATATGAAAAGACTGCCTGTTTTACATTGGGCTTTTATCGGTGATTAATAGAGTTAGAGCACATATTGGGGTTCACGATATTTGGATAGCAGTAGATCAAACTACAAATTCTAATGGGCAATATGTTGCAAACTTTATTGTGGGAAAATTATCTGTAGAGGCCGCTGGCACACCACATTTACTGCCATCGAAAATATGGAATAAAAAACAATAATGTAACAGTGGTAAGTCTTATCAATAAGTCGTAGGTAATTTTATTAATTACTTATTAAAAAAAAGTCTGTTCGATTTACATTAATTTCTACTTGTGTTCAAATTCAAAAATTCTTATTAACGTCAATCAGATTGGTTATATTGACCAAGCACGGTTGCAAAGTTGCATAACATTGTTGCACAATTAGGTCTAATTTGCAACTTTGATATGTGGTAAGGTAAATAACATGATATAAATCGAATTTAAATTATAATAATCTAGACCTAAGTTCTGGAAATATTTTATCCGAACTTAATTCATGTAACATGTTTGGTTCACGCCTTAAGTTTAGTAGCTGAAGTTATCCAGAATCAACATGAAAATATTAATAGTTTAATTTCCAACGTAAAAAAAGTATTTCTTAAAGCTTTTTTAAGGATCCAAGCCTTCTGAGAGCCTTACTGGATTGTCCATTGACTCCAGAACCTGTTCTGACAAAATGGAGTTCGTGGATTGAAGCGGCAATATATTATTGCGATCATTTTGACGATATAAAAAATGTTTCTTTATTGCTATTGATAATTTTGTTGTGTAATTCTAAATTAAATGAAACATTTTAGATTATTTTGGAATTTGACTCCACAGTGTTGAAATGCATTGCCGATGCTCAATACTGTTTCCAAGAAAGCATCTCAAACATAATTTTGCTTATATAAAAACCCATTTTACCATCTTAAAAACAAATGTAACTATATTAGAGACCATTGGCTGACCTTAAGTCAGTCTATGGATATTATTATTATTAGACACTAGTCAACAGGCATGAAACCCAATTATAGACCAAGTAAACAAATTGAGTAACTAGCAACAGCTATTATTACTGTTGCGCCCATCAGGGAAATGTTAATCAATTGGTACTTAGATATAAAGAGTAAATATAGAGGGACGTACTCATTTTACTTGAAAATATCAACTGTAGATATCCTTCTGTATATTATACAGGGCAGACATCTCATAAAGTGGTGAATGTTTTTCAATATTTAAACGTGGAGTGGATAAATATTAGGACAACCTGACAATAACTTGGGAAAAAGAAAATATTGACGTCTCAATAGATCGGGACAGTCAATTTCAAAATGAACTATCTTTTTCAAAAAATTCGTGGAGGCAACGTTTCGTCTACGATTTAAATCGAAAAACTTAAATCTGCTTAAAAGAGCTATATGGTATGAACCTCGTTGAGGGTAAATACCATCCACTCTAAAAGCCAAATACTTCAAGAATCTACTCTGAATTTTCTCTAAAGCTTCAAATGAATTTGAGCACATGGAGACCATTTGATATTTGTATACTCTATAGTTTAGATATGGTAGAGCAATTGTATAAACGATTGGAAGATACCCCGGGGAAAGTAGATGAAATCACAAGGCGAAAATGTAGAAAAAGATTTAAAGATGAAATCTAGTGAAATTTCTCTAGGTATCAAAATGTCCTAACAGACAAAAGGAAAAAATTTTCTGCCGAAAATTTTGAAAAATATCTAATTTGCTATTCAAATTTTAACGAAGATTTAGGATCGCTGATTATGTAAAATAATAAAATAAATGATCTTAAAGAAAACCAGACGTTCAATAAAATTTCCTAAAACTTGCCCAAAGCGCCCTATTTTGTCATTTTTTGGGCCTAAATCCCCCGGTTTTATCGCCTATTTTAGGACTTATTTTGGCTTTTTTTTTGGCCTGAAATCATCTCTGCGATTTTCATAAAGAAAGTGTAGTGCTTTTCTTTGTTACACTTATCATTATTGTTAGTGATTATTTAAAAAGGTCAACATTTTTCTCACCATTATTTTTTTATAAATCTGTCCCAAAATAGGTGAATTCATTATTGCCACTTTTCAGCCAGTTAAGCGCAACAAAAGATAACCTTTGATTCATTAGTATGTTTTTCCAATCATTCATTATGACTCGAAGCAAACCCGTTTAAACCATTATCGATTGTCGTTTTTTACTTTTAGTTGTGATAGTGCAGTTTTTAACCCCATCTTTCAGGTTGAGTGGCTTCAAAATCGATGTCCTGTACACAAAAGATAATAAATCGATGATTACTTAGTCCGTAATCCCCCAAGTTACATGGACAATTTATGTTTACTGTAACTAACGAAGTGTGAGAAATAAGACACCAGTTTTTATGGGTTGAAACGCGAAGTCATGATGATGGTGAAACCGACCATTTAGATGGACACGGTATGGGATGGACCAGGTGTTAGTTAGTGGTCATCTTTCTAAAGAAAAATATATTCATTCTGATAAATTGTGTTTACCTGCGCTGGTGCTGTAAGACCAGCCGACATTGCCGCTGCCGACTGTTGAGCTGCCGCCGCCGCCGCCGCCATTGATGCTGCGCTTAATGAACCGTATGCAGCGGACGGGTTGTAGTACGAGGCCATGGATTGACCCATACTGCTTGCCGCCATTCCTGGAAAAGGATAAAAATTTTAAAGTCAACCGTTACCAAATGGACACGCTATTGCGTAGGGGCGGCAATGTCCAAGGGGTGTAAAATCTATGTTTAACAACAAGTTGATTTGACGCTACAAAAGCACATCTTAACACTTGCCTGCCTTTTCTCCTAGCTAGGAACTGTGTTTATCTATTTAAATAAGTCAAGTTTGAATATTATAATTTGAATGAAACTCGTTCTACATTTCAATTGTACTTATATTTTGATTTATTGACCCCTTTCCTGCCTACACAAGGATGTTAATGAACCTCATTTGTATATTTGCACGTATTACAAGAGATCTGTGATGTATACCTACATTGACTTGTCAATACTAGACACCAAGGTGGAAGTGTTACAGTAACAATTCCAAACACAAATGGAAATCCGAATCCGCAAAGACATTCTCTAATTAAAAATTTAATTTCGCCCAATCGCCAACTGCTACTTCAACTAAGCCAAATTCTAAATTACAGTAATTTCGTTGCTGGTGTTTGCCGTTAATACGATCATTAAAATCATGTAAATTCTTTTTTCGACACATCGGTGTAGGAGAATTTTGCCGAGTCACTCTGTATAAATTAATTGTCTCTAACAATAGGATGGAATGTTTTCTTGACACTTAAGATATAGGCATGTTTGATAAATGTGACACCAAATGGCCGAGTAATGTTTTTCGTAGTTATTCTTGCCAAGGTGATTCTGTTTTCAAGTGCTTGATTGAAGGTATCATATTATTGAAGTTTTATTGTGCCCGTTTCGATTGTCATCGTCATGTAGGTAAGGTTATGTTCAATATTAAATAGAATTTATAGCGATTTGTTTTATATCCGTAGTATTGAAATAGACGTTGTAATTTACGTGCATGCTCGCGTTCAATTTATTTACTTGAGTTGAAGTCAGCCCTAACAAATTACTTAAAAGAAAAAAGAATTGACATTTTTATTGCTTGTAGCACCAGACTGACATAAGAAATATTGATTTTTGAGAAACAAAAAAAAACAGTCTACTGACATTAAACAGATTTCACTATTTGTCAAGACATAATAATTATCTTGCTGTATTTATGTGACGAACATGTAACAATAAAAGTTAAATAAATATTATTAATACAACAACAAAAAATTGTTCTGAAGTTTGTCAGTTGTAAGTTAAATTTTCATTTTCCAAATTTTTAAAAGTAAGGTGAAACAAGACAGGGAATTTGGACGACGACATTCACTACAGATAGATATTAAGAAAAACCTATCTCTTCGCAAAATCAAAACCGTGGTCAGAAATGAACAAAGAATACACAGAAAAAGAAGAATTCGAAGTAAAAGAAATATCAGGTTCAAATGTGAAGTAATTGAAAAGAAAAATGTATAAAAATATGCATAAAATATTTTGATAAAAAAAAAAGGAAAAAGAGAAAGAACATCTCTAGATGTTACAGTCAACTTAATATAAAAAAATACTGTAGTCTTAAAAGTAACCATTAAACATATTATAAATACTTTTTGAAAATTTTCAGTTGGATTGTGTCGAGGAATAACTAGCGGTTTTGATTCACTTGGACAGGTTTTAAAATTTGTTTGATAAAAGAGTTTATTTGTCCGTCTATCACAAAATTGAGAATGGTGAAAAATATGAGATATTTCAACACTTATAATCAGTTCTAAAATTAATAATTTTTTCATTATTGTTCTTGTAAAAATAACTCCTGTATTTGTTAAAATTACCATTTCCATGCATTATGTGCGTGGTTGGTGGTAATATTGGCTGCGGTTCAATTAAAAAATGTGGGATCGCAATTAGAAAAAAAGTTCAAAATTGGAACTCATTATTAATTAGTTCTATTAATTGATACACAGAATGACAAAGATACATAGTAACCATGTAAAATATGTAAAAAAAATCAGTCGAAGTTTATTTCAAAGGAACTTCCCTCGTTCTTGGAGTATAATGGGCAATTCTGAATCAAACTTGTTAAATTTAAAGGGTGTTAAATTGCAAATTTCCATAGTAACGAGTTAAATTCGTAAATCTGATTGGCTGTTTATTTTTTAACAACCTTTAAATTTTAACAGGTTTGATTCAGAATTAGCCCTATAGTCCGACAAATCCCGTTGTAGCAGTATAAAATTTGATTTCGTTTTGTGATTGTTATAATCTCTATAAACTAAAAACCGGTGGCCGCACAAGTGTGGACAATATGAAATATATTTAAAGCAGATAACCAACGGGAAAAAATATAAAAAATTCTCAACTTCTCAGTACATGCTTAACTTTGACTGTTTATGTTTATACTTCGAAAGAATTCGAGTTTTAGCACGTTCAGATTTACAAACATCACCAATCAAAAGGAATTGAAATTAGATTATTTCTGTCTCCTCAACGCAGAGGAGAGGACTGATTAATTAATTAACCAGACTTATAAATTTGAAGAATATTTATTCGACAAAATTGTAAGATGACGGACAAATTTTGATTATGGATTTAGCATGATTTTACAACATTCGGTTTTTACAATTTCAAAGTTAAATTGCAAAATAAAATTATCAACTTTTTCCCAAAAATCTGGGATGCCTAAAGTAAAAACTCAACATGCATTCTTAAAAAATAACATATGCAGTATAATTCGACTTTGTAAAATGACGTCATCATTTTTTAGAGGAGGTTTACACGAAAAATAATGATTTACCATTCTTACGATAACTTTAAAATGCTTGCAAGTTTTCACAGCATTCGGTTTTGCAATTTCAAAGTTAACTTGCAAAATGTTCTTATAAAATTTTGTTTTTTTTTTTCGAAAATATGGATGGCTAAGGTAAAAATTGAAGACGCATTGTGAAAGAGCATGAAAGGTCGAGAAAACATAAAAGTAATTAGTCGTCAAATGGACTCGATTACAATACTTCCTTAGTTTATGTTCAGGAAGTAAAAATGAGGGTGCAAGAGCGACATACATCAATAAAAAACAAAATTAATTAACAAATAAACAATCTGTCAACATTACTGTTAAAAATAATAATGTAAAGTTTCAAAACATTCATAACAAAAAAAAAGAAATCATCGTAGCCAAAGAAGCGAAAAGAGTATAAAACAACACACATTATCAACCTCAGTATTAACTCTTAATGTAAATTAATCCGAAAGATTCTATATGTAAAATACATATATTTTGACGAAAAACACATATACCTAAGCGATCGATTGTGACAAAAATGATAAAATAAAAATGTTATATTACTGCTTAGTAATGATCAAAAGCAATTGATAGGCAGTAGTGAGTACGATTTATACAAATGTTGCATTGTTTTCGTTAGTGAATATACAAAAAAGTAATTTAATTAAAAAACAAAATAATAAAAAAAAATTTAAATCATATTAACATTTACGTATGTTAGATAGTTTAAAAATTGGAAATATTATGTAGAGTGGAAATGCTACGCGAAAAACATGTGGAGTCATCACAATTAATCAGTTTTTTTGTTTAAAAAATATACATATATATGTTCATACATATTTTTTTACTAGATTTGATATAGTTAAAGACATGAATGTTATTGCATTGCTATTGAAAACAGTTATAAACCACCAAAATATGAAACTAATCACTATTAGGTTAAACAACGAAAAATTACAAAAACAGAATGAGAATGTCGCTAAAAGAACGACCAATATAATTTTTTTGCCCTAAATTCACAAGTGAACTCGTCCGGACGCTTTTACGTCCACTGCGCAGTTTTATTGGTGTGTTGTTCTCAAAATATTTAAACTCTAAAAGAAAGCAAAAGAAAACTGTAATTTAAAACTTAAAATTATTTGTAATCATATTTTAGCAATGAAAAATCAAATTTTGACACCTAATGAATAATAAATGACATCGATTTTTTAAAAATTTGGAATTATATTCAGTGATTTGCGCAATGTCAGTAGGTACTATCCTCAGAACGTTATTTTTGTACCCACTTAAATGTTACTATTAAAATTGTTAAGAATTGTGTCACTAGCCACTAAATGACATTGTATCAGTAGTAGGTAGTAGAATCCCGAACCAGAGACATACAAAGTTGGGCGACAAACAATTAAAACTTATATTTCACTTCAAAAAAAAAGTATGACAAATACATTTTTCGGCTGAAACTTATTAGAAATCGTTGAATTTTCAAGAAGTAATGCTTTGAAAGCAACTACATATTGTGTTTAATATGACTTATAAATATTTTTAAATGAAAAAGTGAAAGGCATAATATGTCAACTGTAAGTCATCCAATCATGTGTTATTAATGACACAAAAACTCCAGTGAAGTGTTTACACAAAGTAAAAACCTTCGTAATAAATTTAAAAGCAATAATTGTACAACATGCTTTTGATCTCCCCGTAATGACATTTTTAATAAAACAAAATAGAAACTAATAGAATAATTAGCATAGAAATCAATGTTTCATCATACCCGTGGAATATGACACTCACTATAACAAGCTTAATTACAATAATAAAGCCACCAGTTTTTCAAATAATTACACAGACGATCAATTTACCTATAGATTTCTACCAGCTATCAACAAAGTGAGCGGCTATTTTATAAGACCGCATTGTGTATTGTAACTGTTTAAGAATGTGGCACAATGAGAAATAACTTCTTTCGTGTGTTTTAATTGATGCGAAAAGGCATTACTCGACAAAAATTTGACGCTACTGTGCTAAACGATTATATTATCCAATTAGGAAAGACTTTATAAAAATCATTAACGATGGTGCGGAGTCGTAAAATTCTGGTGTGAAGACGAAGGAGAAGAGGAATAAAAGCCGGTGCGGCCAAGCTGCAGGTATGAGACGGCGTATTTACGCGTCAATCACAACTCATTTGAACGAGAGATTTGACAGGTGAGATTGGTGTACGTAGTGATTTATAATATTACAGCAATAGTGAAGACAGAAATGCTTGTAAGTGACAGATGTGTGTGTATAATTTCGTATCTGAAATGTG